TCTTTTAAAAAGTACCTGTATTGACAAATGGAATTCCATCATATGGGATATACTGGGATTTCCACATCAAACGTGTAGCTGGCTTGGCTGGGCTTGGAGATTGGCGAGTCCCCCAAACACTCTGTGTTTGCTGCTTGTGAAATGTTAAAACACTTTCTAATTCAGTCTCACTTACACAGTAGCCCCGGTATGAATCTCCAATTTTCTGCATGTAGTAAAATTAAATAACAAAATCATTAGCAAATATGCTTCATTGTACAAAAAATTTAATGAGGTGATTGTCCAAGATAAAAGACTCATCAGCTCTCAAAAGACAATGTCATTTCTCCTTCAGAGCAATGGTCTATTACAACCAGCAGATCTGGTCTGAATTCAACTAGCGTCATCAAATAGATACTGTCCAGGTATTTGTTAGAGAATGCCAAACTCACTGCCATATTGACTTTATCAAAATTTTGTTAGAGACAAGTAATCTTTAAGGAAAATAGCTTGAAGAATATATCATGTATCCATTCTTCCAGATACTTAAAATTCTCCCCCCATATCCAACCAAATCAGCATAAAACTAGCCACAAGGTACTGGTTCCCTGTGAGCCTTCTTTAATGAAACTGATTTTGATATTATGCCATGAATTTGTTTGAAAACCTATGAAAACTGTGATTATCTTATATAAAAATGATGTCAAAGAATTTGTTCATTATATTAGCATTCTTTTCATGAAGATCCTTCTCTGGAATTCCTGTCTGACCTTAAATGCCAAAAATAAGTAATGGGTTTTTCTTTTTCTTAGTTTGTGGAAATTAGCATAAATACTTTTATCTAATGGACACAGAATTTACTAATTAACTTGGTTTCCCCTTTTGAATGTAGATGCTTAGAATATAGACAAGTATATATATATATGTCTCTGTATGTATATACACTCAATACAGTATACATATAACCATGGGGTCTCAGCAGCGCTGGCTGCGATTTGGTGGGCTGTCCTCCGGGGTGTGGTGGGGCCTGAGTCCCACTTGGGGGAAGCCGAGTGTTGCTTTGTCGGCACCTGGTCCACACTGCCATTTCTTTGTAAATGGCCAGGGCACATCGCGACAGCTACAGCTCCTGCATTGTGCGTCTGCCCCCTGGTGGTCAGTGAGTGTCATAGCGACCAGTCGTGTGGAGTACAGGTGATCACATACCAGCTCTAGTCATCTTTAAAGGACTGAGTTTATCAAATGCCTTCCTGAAGCCAATTACAAAATGAATGGAATTTAGAACAGACAGAGTTGGGTGCCTGAAGAACAGAATTGGGAATATATAGGTACCTTCATGATATGGCCTTTGGTTTTTAAAAAATGCTCACAAAAGCCTCTTGCTCTTCTAAACTCTCAGGGTCCCTAACATTTATTTC